TCGTGGCCACATTGTAGCCGTTCTTAATGAAGGCGTTGCGCTCCTCATCTGTGTACGACGGATTGAACGTAGACACGTTGCTATAAGCCGTGTAAGGCGCGTTGGCCACATACACGACTAGAGGCGGTATGTGGTCGGCGTCGGCGAACTCGGTTGTGTTGCAGCCAAAGAAGGTCGGCTTCTGATTCAGACCTAGGTTTATAAAGGTCTCGGCATCCGGAACGGCGGGGAAAGCGGTTCCGTTAGCGATATCCGTCTTGCTGCGCTCGTAGGTAGCACGCAGCGCGGTGCCGTTCGGGAAGCTAGTCGTGGTATCGGCGGACGAGTCAACCGCAAAGATGACATCGACGTTGCGCATCGGCTGGATTAGCGGGTGCAGCGGAATATTCTGCAAGTCTAGGCCACCGTCGACAAGAGTCAGCTGCTCATCGCCGGCGCTGTCGTTGGTATCATTGTTGTAGCCATAAAAGGGGTTCGGTGTCCAAGCGGCGATGTCGTCATTGTCTTCGCCGATACGGGTCAAAATGGACTCGAGCGCATTGGTCACGATCTCGGGTAGACCCGAGGATGAAAGATTCTGTAGTAAAAACGCGTTGAAAAGCGAGCTACTTGTTCCCATGAGATAACTGTACGCATCGAATCCGCGGACGCAGTGGCCGTTGTTCGGTACGATGCCGCCGCTAAAGTTCGATCCGACATAGCGAGTAGGAGCAAAGCCGAAGATAGTCGGATCATGCGACCCAATCTCCCACGGGTTAAACTCAAGAACCGTCGAGTTCAGAGAGACTACTGTCGTGCCCGGTCTACGCTCATCACTCACTAAGATCGGCATGGGCGTGTCGGCTGAGGAGAAATTAGGAGCATCGGCGATGGACGAAAACGTGTACGCCGGTCCACCGTTCGGTGCGTTAATCAACTGGTAAGAGAGAGCCCGTCCCCAGTAATCCGTGATAGAAGTATCATATCCCGCATCCCTCTTATCATCAACCTGGTCCTTAACATCATCCCAGTACTCGACGGTGTTAACGATAGAGATCCCTCTCTCCTTAGGCCCCGCGAAGATAGAGTTAGAGAATTGCCATAGAGAGGAACCCTGGTAGCCGTCACGAAGCTGGACGACACTAGAAAAGTTATTGGCGAAGATGGAGCCGACCAACCATCCACCACCCGAAAGTCCTGCTAGGTAGGTACTGCTCTGCAGAAGACCACCAATACCACCGGCGTCAGTCGATCCCGGCGTGCGACTGTCAGCTGCAGCGATAAAGCCGGCACCATTCATAAGCGCGCGATAACCACCACCCGAGACGGCGATACCGATATTAGGTACGATGGAGAAATTCTGCGAGTTAGAACTGACGTAGCTGACGGCGTCAAAATCGGATAGGTTTGCCTGCTTAAAGAATTCCAGCATGGGATCGATGGTCTTATTTCGGCGGTTTCGCAACCAACTCTGCTCCGACTGAGATAGAGTTCCGGCGCTGCGGATCGTTGGCCGTTCGCGCGGGCAATCGACGATAGCCGGTGCATAACTACCGGACGGGTTGTCCGGACTTGCCCGGCCCATTAAAACATCACGAACTTCGACGGCTGAAGCTCGAGAGCCATCGTTACTCCCGGTTGGCGATCCGAGGGCCGCTGAGATAAGCGAGAGCAGGGGCAAAGGAAGGGTACGCATAGTTTCCCGTAACGAGCCCCGGAAATATAGATCAATCGAAGAGGTACACGGGGAAAAAAGGAGGAACGGAATGAAAAAAAAAAAAACAATATGGAAAGATGAATTGGTAGTTGGTTGGTGCCGCGGTAGCACGTTGCGGTCTAGTTATACCTATCACCTACCTACTCCTAACAGAGTAGGAGTAGCACAACTAATGTAAGATCTGGAAAAGCGGATGGAGATTCCAAGGACTTTCGTCCCCGTCGGAAGCATGAAAAAAGGGAAGAGAGACAAAAAAAAAATACATAAGCACCAAGGTGCCGAGCCCTGTTACCATTACCACATTGGGAAAAGTATCCAAGCCTTCATCAGCCGCGAGCCGTGCTAACCGTTGCTTCGAGCTATTAAAGCCAATCTTTAGCATTACCTTACACTGCATTCCAACTGGGTTGCCTCAAGAATGAGGCTATGCTAAAGATAAATGGATTATCTTAGGTACCTGCTTACATACATAGTAGGTAGGTGTAGGTACCTTGGTAAGGTAAGGTAAGCATTGTGAACAAATCGGATGGCTGTTGGGAAAGCTGGGAAATTCCATCGAATAAAAATACATACATAAAAAGTCTTAACCTAGATTATTGATGTAGTGGGACAGCCCTGGTTATGCCACATGCCACATGCCACCTAGCAGAAAGCTGCCAAGCTGACTACTTGCGCTAAAGGCTTGGGTACTTATTTCAATCTCATCTGATATAGGATCTACAACGCGCGAGACACTAATGCGGAAGTACAGTGGTGCCTTGCATAAGTACCGCGGTTAGTGCTGTCTAGGGCGGTCGATCTCCGCGCCGGGTGGCTGGGCTAGCGAGCAATGACGACTCAGCAGCCTGTAATAGCTTGTTGTCGTCCGAACTATCCGGGGAAGAGCACTATACGAAGTACATCCAATTATTTATTCGATAATGTTAATCCACGGAAACTTTGCTGGTGCCATATGTCGTTTCAGAATCAGATCATGTATATTTCCATATATGTCCACCTTCCGAATTGACGAGCATTAATTTGCGAGATAAGAATATTATATAATACGGCGTATTTCGTACATGTACGTTTCAGGAGATGATATATGCACAGACCACTTCTGAATCGGCAGCAGGAAATCGGACTCGGTTGGGCTCTTCGGATTCCAATCCCGATAGACCGACCGAGCTGTGACTCAACATTGGTGACTATGGCTTCATTGGAAATGCTACGTTGTATAGCATCGTTGAGTCACTTTATAAATCCTATAAAGTCTCTATAGAAAATCGTGAAAGATTCTCAATACCCGTCATTCTCTCCTATTCGCAACTACAGCTATACGCGCGAGTTAGTATCACCCTATAAAATGGCCCCTCTAAAAATTCTCATCTGCGGCGGTGGCATTGCGGGGCCAGCCCTTGCATTCTGGCTTAGTCGTAGAGGTCACCACGTGGAAGTCGTCGAGCGCTTCCCGGCTCTTAGGGCGACAGGGGCTCAGATTGACCTCCGCGCTCAGGGTATCGAGGTGGCGAGGCGCATGGGACTTCTAGAAGCAATACGCAATATACGCGTCGATGAAGCCGGTGTATCTTTTGTAGACTCACAGGGGAGGGTGAAAGGGACAGTCAGTATGTAACCTCGAGAGTTTCTTTCCCCCCCTTCTTTTTTGGCTACCTAGTTCCGGGGAGCGGTAATCTCGGGAGCCGGCATATACCTGTCGAGCTGAACGGAAAGTTACATCCCCCGAGACGATCCGAACACCCTTGAATTTCTCACTCTAAGACGTAGTCCTTAACTAACAGTGTTGTAGTGGCCAATACGTCCGGCAAAGGCGCGCAGTCTCTGACGTCCGAATATGAACTCATGCGCGCAGATGTCGTACGCTTACTCTACGATACGACAAAGGATAATGTAAAGTACATCTTCGGCAAGACTGTAGAAAGCTTCGAACAAGACGAAGAACAGGTTATTGCTCATTTCTCTGACGGATCATCTGACACCTTCGATCTCCTAGTCGGGGCAGACGGCCAGGGGTCACGTATTCGAAGAGCCATCCTACCGCCTGACATCCCGGAACCTTACCGAAGACTTGGCATATATATCGCGTACTGGTTTATACCTCGCGCAGAAGGAGATACTAATATCCGCAGGACGTACTTAGCTCCTGGCGGCCGTATGATATTCCGCCGGACTCACAACTCTACAGATACCCAAGTCTATTTCTTTCTGAAGGACGACTCGCCAGAATTATCGAGCCTTCCAAGAGCCTCGGTGGAACAACAAAAAGAATTTTGGACGCAAAGGTTTCGTGATGCGGGATGGCAAACGGACCGGTTTCTCGATGGCATGAAGACAACCGAGAACTTCTACTGCCAGGAGGTCGTCCAGGTTTGCACGAACACATGGTCCAAAGGCCGAGTTGTTCTTCTAGGCGATGCAGCACACTGTGCGTCTCCTTTCAGCGGTATGGGGACTACAGGTGCTCTCGTCGGCGCCTACGTCCTAGCTGGAGAAATCGATCGCAACCCCGATAATCTCCCTCAAGCTTTTGCGAACTATGACCAGAAGCTCCGACCCTTCGTCGACGAGATCCAGAAGATCAAGCCAGCTCTCATCCGGTTAGCCATGCCCGATTCACGGTGGGGCATTATGATAATTCATTTTATTGCGGGGCTACTCTGCTTTTTTCGTATCCCCGAACTCATCGCGAGGTTCTCGAAAGAGGAGAAGGGTGGGTGGGAGTTACCAGACTATCCAGAGCTTAGCCCTTCTCGGTAAGACCCTGAAATACGTCAAATACGAAGAATCCAATGGCAGGTTAAGCATAAGCCCGAAACTTTAACAAATCCCCGCTCAACATTATAGAATCACTAGGGATGGCCTCTCTGCTCATTAGGTATATTTCTATTCTCGGAACCTATCAGCCTATACTTGAATAGTCTGATTGGCATGATACTAGTTCCGAATTTGGTCCGGGCTGGTCCTTATTAGACCAAACCCTTACATAGGACTCCCTAGCTAAGCCTCTATGTAAGGCGTCAGATTAACGGTTTGTAAGTGACGTCTTCAAATAGCCCCTATTAAGATGCACTAATAATAGCGCTTACACTTTATAGTAAGATTATCTATGTAGTTAAATATACTCTGACATTAATAACACTTAATACAAAGGTACAATATACCCAAAGCTTGTCCTCAACATCAAGTTTTATCTTATATGAAACCAAATATTTTCGAAAATCTTCACTTACACGTTGATATAGTTATTACTAAACCGTAACTACTGAGTCAAGCAAAGACCTACAAGCTGTCTTAACCCTAGCTTCTACACCTCCTCGAACTGGTCCGCCGCCAATCCATAGGCACGCGTTAGCTTATTTCCTATATTCCGCGCCAAGGCCTTGCTAATCACTTGACGTGGGTGAGGCTTATGTATTAGAATGGATTTGCCGTGGCTATTCGGATACGTAAATTGATACGATGAACCCTTCACGGGTTGTATCTTAAAACCTATCTTTTTCATGGCTCCTAGGAAGTTGTCCCATCTAATTTCCGTTCGTGCGGATCCGAGGAATAGTGCCCTAATCACTTCTATGTTTCGGCGTTGGAGCCTTATGAGCTGTCTTGGGGCGTTCGGGGGCTGCTGCTGCTGCTGCGCGGAGGGGCTTGTTGATGTAGCGCTTGATGGTGGTGGAATCGATGGCGAGTTAAGGGATACCGTAAAGATATCTATATCTGACGTAGGAGATAATGTCTGTGTTAGTATCTGTGGTTCCTCGGGCACTATGATATCGGGGAGGCTTTCATTCCGAAATTGTCTATGTGCGATATAGTCCTTTAGGAGCTCGTGGGGCCTCTGTTCACCAACAAGTTCGAATAATGCGTCTGCTTGATCCCAGAATCGTTTTAGATTTTGCTCGGCCGTTACATAGAGCTCTGTAGTATCATGGGACCGGTTCTCGTAGACTGAATATGCGAATGTGGGTTGTAAAGGATAGATCAAATCGAATATACCCTTGTCTATCTCGGACGCTTTGAAGATAGTATCGAGTACTGGCAACTGGATGCTACATCCGCCGTCGCTGCTCCAGAGCCCCGGGATATACGGCCGATAGAGTCTTAATTGCCGGAGCGATTCGCAAGCTACAAAAAGCTTCTCGAGAGTCGTGGTGACCGCCGGTAATATATAAGACCGAAGATAGGCGTCTTTTTTCAATATTGCTTCGACATCGCTAACCAGAGATACGCTTAAGTCGACGTCGTTGCGCGAGTCAGCTATGCAGTCGTGAAGAGCATATGACACCGTGAATCCCTCCTGGGTCTCGATTTCGATCGCGAATGCTTCTAGCTGAGAAGCGAAATACTGGATCGTGTACATTAAGAAATCCTTTAGGCGAAAGAGCGCTGCCAGCTTCTTTTCAGATGGCTTCTTTGATTCTTGGACTAACCTGTCCGCAATACGGAGCTCGAGCTCCCGCCAGATGATGATATCACCATAGGTATCCCTCAACGTCTTGCGAACAGCAAACACGTGTCGAGATATAACCAAGTCTCGTTCCTGCGGCCCCTTGTCGTGCAAATGTCTAGTAATACCCGAGATAGCGTCGGCGAAGAACCCCGGGTCCTCCCGCAACGCCCAGAAGTTCTCCTCCGCGTCGAAGTGGTGGGCTGAGACTAGCTGCTGCAATTGACGGAAGTCGATTTCCGAGGGGTTTCTGTAGGGTCCTTCTGCCGCTCGGGTCGCGAGGGGGGGTTCGTGTAGACTCTTCGTCTCTATGCCGTCGTGAAGAATGCCACGGCAGCAATCTAAGAGGAATCTCATGATTCGCTCTTGGATTTCAAGGATGCGGATCCCTTCGCCTGGTAGGAAGCCTACACCGCTTAGAAGCAGCGTTTCCACCTCCGCTCTCGACGCTCGAGAAAACGTCTCCAACCGGCCGTATTCGCTCCGCGTATCTTTATCATCACCACCCCCGGCGTCAAGTCGCATGAGATTATTGTCGAGGTAGTTTATACTGACGATGCCTGTCTCTACCGCAGACTTGGAATCTAGTAAGTCGCTGTGGACAAAGACGCTTGGATGCTTGCGACTTCTTGATTCCATGAAAAGGAGCAGTCGGTCGCCGGGGAGGAGATCCTCCAAGTTGATATACGGCCACATATACGCCTCTCTCAGAATATTCAAATCCGTGACCGGGACGCTGCCAGATAGCGGGTCTTTCGACAGACGGGCGGGAATCATGTTTGGCCACGCGCCTCGCAACACCCTTTCGCGACGGAGGAGCTTGTACTTGTTCCATCGGCGGGAAATAGCAATCCAATGAGAATCAAGTAGGTTCCGTAGCTCCTCCCGACAAACAAAAATCCTTTTCGACAGCGCCCTCGCCTTAAGCTCAAGCTCTTCAGCCTCCTGGATTACTTTAGTATTAGGCCCCATCATCACCGGCACAACACGCTGAAGCGCAAGCCTCAGAGCCAGCACGAATCCAGGCTCCTCGTTATCCAAGATTGCCACAACCTCAGGGCTATCCAAGACAGACATAACAGCCGTTCTAAACTTCCCATCGAACGCGTTGATATCGACTCGTGTCTGCTGGTATCGCATAAGATGTCGCAACAGTCCATCTCGTTTCGTAAGCAAAACACATCGCATCAGATATTTCTTGCCTTTAATAGAAGGGATATCCGAATCGGGATTCGAATCCATAGATGCGATTCTCCGCTCTCTCGTGCGAGTAGAGACGTCCGTGTCATATGCTGAAGTATCGCCTATCCCGTCTCTAAACATTTGGGCGGATATCTGGTTTCTGCCGAGTATGTGTTTTTTTTATTTCGATAGTGACAGCACTTAATCGGATCTTCAAGTGAGATTTGATTCCGGAGCTCTCTATTTTTATAGATTATAGCGTGAACGAAAGAGGCGATATCGCCTCTCATATTGTCTGACAGCGTGGTCGTGTTTTAGTTTATGTTCGAGGTTGAAACAGACAAGTTGCGTCTCCTAGTAGTTATCTATCTATCTTCATCCTTCGCCACTTTAACATCTACTGTCGTGTTCGTTTCGGAGTAGTTTGTAATCTGCCATATGGTATTTAGGATAATAGGCGATTTTCTAACCTTTGTTTAACTCTAGGGCTCAACTATTGAAACTAATAGCGCCCTAGTTACTGGGTTGAAGTTGCCAAGGCTGCTGTTACAACTATGACTTTAGGTCCTCTAATATAGTTTTACCTATATAGATTCTTTTGTCTGACTTAACTCCTAGCCTTCAAGTTGCCGACACAAATTTCCATTTCCGCATGGTTTCGCTAAGTTCCTTTCCCGACAACTGAAACCAATAGTTTATCATAGTGGAATCATGATTCATAGAGTATATAAAAGACATTATGTGCTACTAGTTTTGAGGCAAGTCTTAGATCAGGTATACTTAACAAAAAGTAGCAAAATAATAGGCCTATCTGCAAACATAACTATTCTATTCTACTTATGGGGGTGAACGTAACCCTTGATAGGAGCCGTCGTAATTGACTACCCAGACAGCGTATCACGACCAACAATCGATAGGGGAAAAACTAAACCAACAGGTATAAAACAGCCTTCGCAGCTGTGATACCATTGCCGAGGTATTTAATCCTAACTCCGGAGGCCATGCCAAATCCTTTCACTCACACGCTCATTCACACACTGACACCGTCAGTACAGGGGGGTCCACAAAGGACAAAAACTAATTCGCCGCCACGAAAGGGGGCATACCGACGATGAACAAATATCGTCTCTTTTTCCTGGCCAGCAAATAAACCCTCAAAAGAAAAAGAAATATGGCTCATACGTTCCACCCAACAGTGCCTCGAACTCTAACGGGTCTACCGCTCAACACGATAGCATATTGATACAAGTGTGCTACCCTAACCCCGCGAGCTGAAAACCGCGGATGCCCTCTACGTTTTGGATTCCGTTACCGGGGTTGGTGCAATTCTTCGCTTCTTAGGTTGACCGCCCGATGCTTCGTCCTTCTCGTTCTCGCTAGCTTCTCGCTTGACACCAGCAACAATGTTACTGCCGTTTCCAGGTGTTTCGGGAGGGGTTGCGATGGGTATCCCTGTCACCTTACCGGAGTTTGTGGCGGCGATGCTGGGTATGCTTCCACTGATAAGAGGTGGGTTATTCATAACTGAAATTTGGGTGGCGATTGACGACGCGGAATTTGATCGAGCGGGTGATGAAGGGCGCGCGCTCACAAACGATGTTGTGGCTGGAGGGGATGGAGCTGCAAAGGAGGTGGCTGAGTTACGATGTTGGTGGTTAAGGAAGGGTGATGGGGGCGCAAAGGCGGATGTTGGTGTAGGCAATGGGGTAGGCTGATTTGAAGGAAGGCTTGCGCTAGTGGCAGTAGCAGTAGCAGCAAGGGAAATCTTAGGGCCCATAAGGTCACCCTTGTACTCCTGACCTAGTTCACCAGGTGTAAACGATAGCGTCGAACAAAAGCCGTCAGACGAGGAAATGAGCAGCGTTAAACCGTCGTTCGACCTAGAAGCTCGTTAGATATTACGATAAATCCGAAGTGCGGGGGGAAGCGTACCAAGTAAGATCAGTAAACGTGGCAAGATGTAGATTGCTGACAACGCAGATGGGAGTGGTCTGTTGAGTATCATAGAGAAGAACGGAGTCTTGAGTTGCAACAGCATACACCATACGGTACGGCAGCGCAAATATGGGCTTAGGTCCAGGAGTAGTCGGTCCGGTCTCCAAGTTTAGATGCTTAGACGGGGTAGACAACTTCTCCGGGTCTGGCGCTGAGGATGTTGGAGGTGGAGGAGGGGGGTCCATCACCGCAGGTAGCGGTTTGGAAATAGGCTCGGGAAGAGCAGGAATGGGATCTTCTGCCGAAGACGTGTCGATAGTGATGTGTTTCGTAACTGGCGGAGATTGTCTGAGCGTATAGACTATGGGCGAACACTTCACGGCAACCGAAGGCTTCTTTAGGCCGGGGAGATGAGCAATAGGTGGCTTGTTGATACCGCCTCGGGTATATATATAGACAGTGTTGATGACCTCATATGTAGGTCTAAGGCCGTCTGCTTGGTGCTGCATTTGGAACTGGCCGGCAGGGGTCAGAAGCAAGCTGCCATCCGGAGTAAAAGTCAGGCGTCTAAAGAAAGACGTAAGAGTTTCGCTGGCGTAGAGACTTGCGTTCTTCATCCCTACACTGAGAGCGTGATTGAGTTTTGGAGATGGCTCGATGGGCATCACCGCAGGCAGAGGCAGCGACGGTGCCGGGGATACAGATCGTCGAGATGAAAACGAAGAGCGTCTACTATGACTGACTACACTCGGGGGATTCATCGGTAAGGGAACAGATTGCGGTGTTCCGGGCGCGGATAGTACTGGTGATCCCATGGAGGCGCTCGGCGTGTCAACTGCGGCTGCAAGCTGAGTTCGGTAGCCGATATCTGATGGGGCGGGGCTGTTAGATGAGATACGTCTGCTGGGGGGCAGATCTGCTTTGGCGTGACTGGCAACCTTGGGAGTTTTCTCATCGTGGCTAGTAAGCGCGTACTGTCCATCCTTGGTCTTGAGGGAATAGATGTGAACGGATCGGTCTGACGACTGGGTTGCGATGTATTCATTCAGGGGATCCCATGCGACGCCCTGCACGTAGTGACTATGCTCGGCAATTTGCCGTATGAGAACACCTATAGGCGAGTAAGTCAACTGGGATAGAAGATATACTTGTGATATATCTGACTACGAACCTGTGCCGGCATTATAAATTCGAGCGATATTGTCCATGCTCCCAATGATGAAGTAGGTAGCATCCGGAGACCAGGCTAGATCGTATATTTCCGAACCAGTAGGCCGGAACATATGCTTGGTACGCCATGTTTCCTTGTCTTCGAGGCCCTCGTTCCCAAATGTAGTCGGGTTGTGGCTTTCGCTAGGAACCCATAGGATCACATTACCATCATCTCCAGCAGAAGCGAGGGTTTCTCCTTTGGGAGCCCACCGAACGACATTGACGGCTTGGGTGTGTTTGGCGAGAGTTGAGAGGTACTCGACCTTGCGATCCTCGCCGTCGCCTTCGACTTGCCAGATACGCACGTTGTTATCTCCTCCTCCCGTAGCCAGCCTTCCCTTGCCATGTTGAGACTCGAAGTGGGCGGAATAGATGGGGGCGTTTTTATCGTGCCAATTGATGATCAAAGGAGTTGACCTCATGGCGACGGTTCCATCCGGGACATGAGACTCTCTACGATGTAGTTGAGCGCGATGCGAAACGTCCACAGAATGATCGAGGCGTGGTTATAGCTGTAGGGGGAGAGGGCGAGGCTGCTTCGAATTGGCTTTCGAGATTGTAAGGCGACAGGGAAATGCTACTTGATATTGGTTAAATTAGGCACCTACCCTACCCTGAAAGACGTAAAGCGGTAGTGTTGGAAATAATGCCTAGATTGAATCTAGATTGAATTTAGAGAGGGTAATAGAGACTTGCAACGCGTAAGTAGGCGAAGTGGATGTTAAAAGTTGTGAATGATTGGTGTTTTGAAATGCGAAGGCTCGAGCATTGGCTAAAGATGAGGTTGAACCTGGCTGGAGAGGCATACCGTTGCAGCGAGGACATTAGTGGCATTAGTGGCCTTACAGGGATCCCCAGGCGCCTTTGATTGTTGGTCGCGACCCGTTTGGAGGGTTCTTAGGGCTATTAGCTGATAACTACGAATAAGGTAGCTATCCGATAAGGTGGTAGGTGATATAATACTTTCATGGCAGCTGCCTCCTACCTTAGGATGTACCTACCTCCTACATAGAGGTAGGTTACCCCAGAAGAAACATGCGTACCTCCTTGGGTTAATGTACTTTACCTGTGTGTACCTTTCGGTGTAATTCGATTGGACAATCTCCTCAAGTTTGCTGCAATACCTGAGGGATAATTCTGAATAAACTCCCGAATCCCTAAGGTACCTAGGTCTAGTATGTTTCTATTGAAAACATTAAACAGTACCTTACCGACGGTAGTAATTTGCACGTTGCAAACTACAACCATCCATATACGCGTCTAGGCGCGTTTGTTCCGCGGGACCAATCAGAACCGAGTCTATAGTCGAATTTGGGATCACCTCACCCACCCCGCTATCTCGTTCCATACGTGAATCCTACACTCATCATAGACCATAAAGTGATAACGTACGTATCAATTATGATTGCCCTGGTGAGAAAAGGGGGGATAGATGAATCATGATCGATCCAGTTGTTGGATGTCTTATAACGTATTAACCCTTTGTGAATCTTCCTTATCTTTCTACGTCAATGTCAGTAGTCAAGTATACTAAGACCAAATGCGGGTATTAGCTTCGGCTATGATAATAAGGTAAGTAATTAATTGTATCGTAAGAAGACGTCTCCTTATATATAATTTTCCAGTTGTCTAAGATACTTTGGTCGTTTAGATATGGTAAGTTTTTAATTATAGTAAGCTTCTAACCGAAGCAAACATCGTCTGTCCAATGTCTAATGGTCAGCTATCACGTGGGTACCTTCATAGGCAACTCTTGGTATCACGCCTCACGTAGAAAAGCGCCATTCCCATGTGACGGGCTCAACGCCAACTTAACGAGCCGCATTTTCTCTGCCAAGAGCCATATGCAACGAATGCTAAAATCGCATGACACTTCTTGTTTGGCGCTGACGGGATTATGAATTAGCGGCTCGCATATCATCACCGCTGTATTCTTCCTAGAGTTAGAACTATCCTTACCGATGTCAAAGCTCTTGCATGCTCTCGTCGATGTCAGGAATCTCCCAGCCTCTTGAAGTATGTGGCGATCTGAAACGGTCAACCTCGCTCTTTTAAAGACCGGAGAGCATCCGATGGCGGCTCTGCATTTGAAAATTTAGCGGTTAGCGGTCTAAGTAGAATATCTCAGATAAATTCCTCGTCAGCACTA